TAACCACCCTCCTCCCCTCCTCCTTCTTCCCTCCCTCCCTCGCTGAACGAACGAGCATCCAAATAGCTGATCCTCCGAACCAGCATGAAGCCATCCTGCACGATGACTGGACAGGAGAGGTTCCAGCGGGTCTCCAGTGTGGCGAATAATTGGCCGTCAAAGATTTCCACCCATGGGAAGCGCTTGAGATCGATGGAGACGATGACGATCGAGCGGGCGACTGGCGGGTCAAACGCTCGCGCCGTTTCGACTCTGAAATCGAATGATGTCATGGCGGCTTTCTCGGCTGGTGGATTCCCGTAAGTAAGTACATTTTCATTTCATTTCAGACCCAATTCCCCATTCCTATTCCTTTACGGAGTACGGTTTTTCCTTCTCGCTGCAACCGCTGGGGTTTATTGTTGTTGACAATGCCGTCATGGAGTGGGGATCGCGGGTGTACTAGAAAGACTAGTAAGTAGCATGTCTGTGTGTCTGTGTGTCTGTGTGTCTGTCTGTCTGTCTGTCTGTATTCTGTATGTCTGTAGTAGTTAGTCCTCGTAGTGCTGTGTATAGCTGTAGTAACGTAAAAGTACTAGAGTGGATGTATGTAATTTCCACATCACTTCATCCTCACTTCCACAGAGACGTTTCCGGAAAAGATAGAATTCAATGAGAAAGAACGGATGATAAAAAAATGATATACTGGAACATCAACAGAAAAAGAAGAAAAGTTCGATCGCCGGAAGAAGAAAGTGTGATAATAACCTGGGATCAACCAGTCCCTACTGAACAAGTATACATAGCCCTGAGTAAACCAGATAAATTAAGTCGAATTCCATCATTGGGAACTTTAAGTAACCCCTCCTCCTGGTTGTTATTGTTGTTGTTGTTGTTGTTTGTTCCACCCCACCTTTTCTCTGAGCTTCTCTCTCGCCAGCCAAATATACCCCTCCTTCTATATTTTCCTACTATACCGCCCACGAACCCCTCTCTTTCCCCTGTTTCCCTAAAAGCTTCTCATTTTGAATCCCCTTTCTCTCACAATATACCCCCTCCCCCACCCAATTCTCATCATCACAACCACCCAACATGTCGAACGGAAAGACTTTCACGCTGAGCAATGGCGTTAAGATCCCCGGTGTCGGTTTCGGTACCTTCGCCAGCGAGGGCTCCAAGGGTGAGACCTACCGGGCTGTCATGACCGCTCTCGAGACCGGATACCGTCACTTGGACTGTGCCTGGTTCTACCTCAACGAGGATGAGGTCGGTGAGGGTATCCGTGACTTCCTCAAGAAGAACCCCTCGGTCAAGCGTGAGGACATCTTCGTCTGCACCAAGGTCTGGAACCACCTCCACCGTTACGAGGACGTCATCTGGTCTGTTGAGAACTCCCTGAAGAGACTCCAACTGGACTACATTGATCTCTTCCTTGTCCACTGGCCCATTGCTTCCGAGAAGGAGGACCAGGAGCACCCCAAGATTGGCGCTGACGGCAAGGTATGCACCACATCATCATCATCATCCTCATCCTCTGCGGCCTGGTTTCATGCCCGGAAAGCTAACCGAACCATCACAGTACGTCATCCTCAAGGATCTCACGGAGAACCCCGAGCCCACATGGCGCGCCATGGAGAAGATCTATGAGGACGGCAAGGCCAAGTCCATCGGTGTCTCCAACTGGACCATTCCTGATCTTGAGAAGATGTTCAAGTTCGCCAAGGTCAAGCCTCATGTCAACCAGATAGAGGTCCACCCCTTCCTGCCCAACAACGAGTTGGTCCAGTTCTGCTTCAAGAACGACATCCTCCCTGAGGCCTACTCGCCTCTGGGCTCTCAGAACCAGGTGCCCACCACAGGCGAGCGGGTCAGCGAGAACAAGACCCTCAACGAGATCGCCGAGAAGGGCGGCAACACCCTGGCCCAGGTGCTCATTGCCTGGGGTCTGCGTCGCGGCTACGTTGTGCTCCCCAAGAGCTCCAACCCCAAACGTATCGAGTCCAACTTCAAGAGCATCGACCTGACTGACGAGGACTTCGAGGCCGTCAACAAGGTTGCCGAGGGCCGTCACTTCCGCTTCGTCAACATGAAGGATACCTTCGGTTACGACGTGTGGCCTGAGGAGACCGCCAAGAACCTGTCTGCTTAAACGAAACAGGGTCTGGATGGGACAATGGACTTCTTTTCTTTATGCGGGACATAAACAATTGGAGAGATGTTCAGGAGGCCAAAAAACATATATAGTATACATTGGCTACATATTCCCATAGTATCAAACGAAGAAATGTAACGGCCTATGACAATCACAACTTGGATGGAATACTTTTGTAAAAACATAACATAGAAAATTTACCAGGTACCATACAAGGAAAAGAAGGAATAGAATAATAAAAATAATAAAAATAATAAAAATAAACCAAAATAAATATATATACGATACACCTAATTTTCCAAATCCAAGAAGTCTCAAAAATAATAAAATTTGAATTTTAATAGTTAATAGTTAATTGATTTATTTTTGAATTAATCTTTAGCCGCCAAGGGCACAGTGGCACAGTGGCACACACACACACACACACCTCCCTTTGGCAATAAAAGTGTGAGGACCAATACAATGAAGTTTGAAGCTCTATGGAACCATCCCTGCGACCTGCATCCTACTACTGTAATTAGCACAGGTGAGCAAGGTGGACTCGGAGGACTGTCCTCCATGACATGCGACAGGTCGGCTAACGCTTTAGTAAGTTATGTAGTATGACGCTATGCGCCAGGGCCCCGGTAAAGTAAAAGGAAAATACAGAGAGGTACATGGATACAACGATAATTACTACTACATACTGTCCTTGTCCATTGATCATATCATATCGTTTCATTTCATTGAGTTCATGAAATTCAATTGAGTTTTTTTTTTTTTTTTTTTTTTTATTATAAATGAAACTGGTAAAACAAGCAAATAGAGATAACAGCAACAACAGTTCATATACAGAACATCAACCAACCATCAATACAGTAAAGGACCTCAAAATATTACATGTACATGTACCTACCTCGATAGGCAGAAGATACGGAGTACAACGCCGGAATAGAAAAACAACCAATACAACCTCAGCAAACAAAAAGCCTCAAAAATAAAAAAAGGTTCGGAAAATCCCGGAACCTCTCCCCTTCCCTCTCCGGTGGGCAAATCTGGAAAAGCCCTAAAACACCGAGCCCCCCAATCCGGTAAAGCACCGTGCAACCCCAGTGGAACCGTGACCATTCCGAAACCTAACCCTACAAAACCGTAACCCTACCCTTTTTCTTTTCCCCCAAGCCAGCATGCCGGGAATGACGTGGGATGCAATCATAGACTCGGGTTCCGTGGTGGGGAAAAAGAGATGAAATGGGAAAGGTTTGATTGGAAGGGTCCACTTAGTATTAGGTAGATAGGTACAGTACCTTAGACGACCTACATTTGCCATGAGCGGTGCGTTGCCATGATTTGATGGTGGATGGATATGGATTCCCACTTGGAGGCCTTTGAGGGATTAAATTTGGGGCATTGTTTGATTTGACTTTTTACTCTTTTGGTAAATTTTGGGGCAGATGGGATGGGTAGCGTCGGCTCTGTTCTTATCCTGTCTCTTCGTTGATACGGTGGTAGGTAGGTGGTAGGTTGTATACTAGGTACTAGGTACATCGATGGATGTAACTGAGTGGTTCGTTCTTGTCTATCAAACTCAAGTATGGTTCAGGAACCGAGGGACACCCGCTCCATATTCCTTTTCCGTAGGACAATGCATTGCGCCAAGTATGGTTGGCTTGTTGGTCTTTCTTTATTTGGTTTTATCTCAGGTAATGGATACCCGGTGAGTTGAGATGGAAGGAATGTTTCATCATAGACGGTTGGAGGGGGTGTACTCTTTCCAAGGGATTGGATCCTGATAAGCCAGAGGCGTTCTGATAGAGAGGCAAACCTAACTGTTGATAGTAAGGATGGTATGTATGTATCTGTGTACATACATATCGCAGTGTAGCAGATATCTTGTAGAGGTGTTTACGCTTTTATTGACAGGGGTCCAAGGGAAGAGCAAAGGTAAACTTTCCTTATTCTACTGAAGATGCCAATTCTGCTAAGCGTAGCCAAGTTCTTCTCTACCGTGAAGATCGGAGTTCGATAGGTAGATAGCTCCCGGGAGATGGTTTGATGGTGGTCGGGTTTTGGTTGCTGGTTGGAGATATCTCGGTCGAATTTGGTTAGGGAGCGGTGGGGGAGGGATGATATCATTCTGCATCAAGGGAATTTGGCTATACCAATTCTTTTTTTTCTTTTTGCTTCTCGCTTTTGCTCTGGTTCAGTTCTAATCATTGAGAAGTGAGGTATTTAACTTGAAGTCGGGTATCGATACGAGTAAAGGTAATACGATCGTAGCATAACATACGGAACACACTGGATATCAGTTTCACCACATCTGCAGGTAGTTCATCATCACAATCATGATTGCACCGTACTATGGAGTAGATGGAGTCCAGATAATAAGACTTGCTCCATAATAATGTGTTTACTTTTCGCAATAATCCCACATCCCGAGCCCCTCTACGGAAAGACTCGGTAGCCTACCTCCCGGATAGGATGATGAATGCTGCCTTCTCCCGAGAGAGCATTCCCTTAGAGGAGGTTAAGCGAGATCTCAGAGTTGGATCTGACAAAGATCGGCATCAAGGCCCGAGCCCGTGAGTGGAAGCCGGGGTTCATTTCAAGAAGATAGAACAAAAAGTTGATGCTATGAGGTTGACGATTGGGGTAAGATTGCATAAATCACATGCAAACCGACACAAACACCGCCGATCTGGCTCTGTGCGTCTTTTTACTCCATATCCCCCGGATTTCTTCATTGCCTCCCCCTAAGGTGACGACAACAGAACATGAAACAGATTAAAAAAAAAAAATAAATATAAAAATAAAAAAAGACAACAGGAATAATTATTATTGATGTAAATCGCAAAACCCTGTGTCTAAACCAACGCCATCCAAATCCCGAGATCATTAATGGTCGAAGCAAATATTGACAGCATTATGAATATGAATATGTACAGCCCTTCAGTCCCACTCACTCACTCTATTACACTTTGTACCAGGGGAGCAAGCCGAAAAATAGCCTTCATGAAGATACGTTAAAAATGCTCAGACGGACCGTCAAGGTCACGATCGCACTCGCCTTGGCATTGGGGTTGACCCGGCATGGGCCTTGAAAAGACTTGAGCTCTTCAGTGAGCTACTGTCTAATGACGCTCGAGTGTCACTCCGGGTGCTGACACGGGAGGCTTTTTTCGATGCGCCACTCCCCGTTAGTGCCGTCCGGGGAGACTTGGGGGTCAGCCTTTTGCGTGTTTCGGGCGGGCTCATGCTGGTGGACGGTGATGCACTGGCGTCAACGGCTGCAGTAGGTTTGGGCGTTCCCAGTCGCCGCACACGCCGCGGGCGAGGAGTTGCAGTAGTCGCTGCAGTAGTGGATGCAGCCGACTCGGAATCATCACCAGTCTTCGAGGGTCCTTGTGAACGCGTAGTGCGGCTACTGGCCGCCTTTCTTTTTTCTGAATTTTTAGATTTCCCTCCTCGGCCAGCAGCGTCGTCGCTACTTCCCTCTCCACTCTCACCTTCGTACTCAACGAGTCGCTCGTCGTTCCATGACACCCTCTTTGAGGATGCTCGTCGACCAGGATCGCGTGCAGATTTGTTGTCATCCGAAGTGGCCCCGGAATCCGATGTCTGTTGAGCCAAAGTCTGTAGCATATACTTCGGTAACATCGCATCTCCTTTATTCTGTCGCGTGTTCCGACGAGTTGCCAGTGCCAGCTCCTGGGCTTCAGTCTTCTTAAGAAAGACGAATTCGGTTCCCTTCGCACGACGAAGAGTCAAAGTGTTGCGAGCCGCCGTAGTCGCCGTGGTCATCCGTGGCGGAGGCTTGATACTACGAGTTCGGGTGCTTCGACGGGGACTGGAAGGCGGATGATCTTCATTTTCGTCAATTTCCTTACCCGAAACCTTGGATGGAGACAACTGGGCTTTCTGCGGCGAGGGTGAATTGGCATCCAGATCCTCCAGGACCCGACGACCTTGCGGTGTGGGAATTTCGGGGATCTCTACGTATTCCTGGTCGGCCTTCTCTTCTGTATCCTGCGTAACCATCGCGGCTGCTGCGGCTTTGGCCTCTCGTTTGGCTTTCGCTTTGGACAAAAAGTTATTGAGTAACTCGGCATCCTCGCCATCCAAAGAGCTCCGTAGTGCCGATCGAACCAAAGTCGACTCCTGTTCTGCAGTCAGGTCCTGCACGGGTGCCGCTGCTGGTGGTTCCGTGGCGTCTGTCTGCTGCACAATCTCCTGGGAAATCGTTGCAGAGGTCTGTGATTCGCATTGTTCAGACTGTAGGTCGTCCGTCATAGTGGCATCCAAAACAGCATCATGTTCCTGCTCCTCGATATTCTCCGGAAGACCAGCTTCCAGAGAGCTGGACTCAGGCAGGTCAGCCTCGGGCTGGCCGATATCATGGGATCCCTTTATATCGGCAGTGGTTCCATCCATCCCACTTTGTAAACCATGTAGCGTGCGGGGATAGGCCGCGGAAGCAGCCAATCTGGTAGGCGTGTCTGGGCTACCATCCAGCGATTCGTCGCTTTCAACCGTATCCGGCAAAATCTCATCACCTGACGTGGCAGTATCGTGTGCGTTTTGGTAAATAATATCGCTGTCGTCGTTGTCACTGGCTCCTAGCGGCTGAGAATCGGCTACGATAGGCTCGGAGCCGTCCACGAGACCGCGATAGACAGGAAATTTACCTACTAAAAGTCAAAACCGGCTCCCGAAGAACAACAACATGATAAGGACACGCGATGGTGACTTACGCCTTTTCCCGCTGGCCTCTGACTCCCATTTTGTCTCTAGAAAAGAGCGTCCTCGGGATGCCTTTGTCTCTACTTGTTCCTCGGAATCATGCACGAGACACCGTCTCTTGACGCCGCGCATGTAATCTTCATTCCGCGCCGTGTTGATTTCGGTGCATAGGTCATCGTGATCATCAGAACCACTCTGCGCGGAAATCAAACGCTGCAGCGCCTTCATACTGTTGAACGAGGAGCGGAAGCGCTTCCACACCTTCCGCGATTTGGGACGCGCCAGAAACGGGGTGGATGGCTGACGATCCCAGATGCGCGGGACGGGTTTCACAACCTTGACAGGAGTGAATCGGAACCTGTCTTCTTGGAGATGTTGGAATCTAGGATTTGGAAGAAAACTGTAGAAATCGCGCAATTCACAAAAGGTCAGCGACTGTGTCAGGCAGTGTAAGAGTCGTATGTGTATGGCTTGCGTCAAGCGACTGAGATTTCCCCATTGGGATGGTCACAGCATTGGGAACAAAAAAAAGGGGGGGCTTCAAGGTGAACATATCAATGTCTTGGCTTGGGACAGGTAGATTATCTGTGTCCTTCAAAAATCTTGATATGTGGAATGTGTAAATGGAAGATATAATTACCATTTGTGTAAATCAGGTTCTGCCCGCATCGCAGGCTCAGCAGTGGTTGACATTATTTCTTTCACCAGTGCGAGGAATAGAAACAATCGTGACGTCAAATGGCGACGGTATAGGCAATGACTATGGGCGCTATTGATGTCTTAATATGTCGATACACAATCTCATAAATATGAAGGGATCTGATAGTAAATGTAGGGTAAAATCGACTTGTGGTTAGCGATAGAGGCGCGCGTGGAGACTGGAGTTAAATAAATGAAATGATAGACTAGAGTGAATTGTTTTCGTTAGATTTGGCCCGGGCCGTTGCTGTGCCAACGACTGCTTAGATCACAAAGGTTGAAGAGACCAATGTCAACTTGAGCCAATGATGAGTGGATTTCTTTGGTTCAAAAAAATGTTTTCTTTATCTGGAATGGATCATAGCTTGTTATGTGGGCTAACTTAAATGTCTATGATATAATGATCCATGTTTAGATCGCCGTTGGATGTTCATCCTTGTCTGCCTTACACCTTGAACGACCATCACCACCTCCAACTTGGACTGACCACAATTTCGGACCTCACCCTTTCTTTCTGTTCTAGTAGACATATATGAATAGTAAAACGCTTTAGACTCGATCGCCCGTCTCATTCCAAGTATATCCTCAGAAAACACCCCACAAATTCGACAATCATATCTCATAAATCATTCATGTCTCAAACCAGGATTCACAATCAAATCTTCCAAGCAAAGAAGCACCAAAGAACATAAAAAGCACCCTAAACACCATGTTCTCCTGTAACCCATGTCTCTAGAATAATTTCTCCTCCATATCCCTATCATCAAATGGGTCCCCGAACTCATCTGTGTACCGCAACGGTCAGCCTTGACCTAAACTACACCTAGAAACCAAGCCTTCTGCCACCAAACACAAACGCGGAGTAAAACCCACCTAGGTTAAAGTCCTGATCAACCACATATTCCATCGCCCGGTGGTACTCCTCCTCCGCCCGTTTATTCATCCATGAAGCCCCCGGTTGCTGCTGCTGTTGAGCGGATGTCGTCTCCGCGGAGCCTCCAGATACATTAGTATTCCCCAGTCCGGCGAGCCCCCCAACATCAGCTGATACGGATTGTGTCTGCGATCCGGGCGGAGAGAGCTCCGAGGTGCCTGGGAACTGGGAGGTAGCGCTACGGATGTTCGTGGGGGTACGCGATCCGACTGGGGAATCTTCGGAGTGCATGTGGGACGATTCGGGAGAAGAGGCCATTTGGGAGTCTCCGTCTGGATCTGGGTTGGTTTTGTTAGTGGGATCTGGAATTTGAGGCTTTTGGAGATGGATATCTTGGGCGAGGTAGGATCAATGCGGGGATAAAGAGCGGTTGGTGAAAGAGAGAGACTTAGTGGCGGGCGGAGGGAGGGTGCACAAGGAGAAAAGTGAATGTACATACCAGTAGCCATATTGAAAGTGAACACAAAAGTCCCTGGCTAAAAGTCGTGAAAGCGGGTATTGATATATTCAGTTCAGAGCAGTAAGGATTTATCGTTAGAACTAGCTTGACGTGGTGGTTCATGCGGAAGGCGGAGTAAACCCCGAAAGAAACCTTAACTAAGCAACAGCAGATTTTCCCTCTTCGAAATTAATGGCTCTTACTTCTCTTTCCCCTCCCTCGTCACTCTTTTGTACTTCAAGCTCCCCAACTTTTCCTACTCTTGGAGAGAGTTTGGTCCCATTCTTCTATCTTGGTATACATTATTTGCGTCTGGAATTCCTTGTTCATTCTGCATCTGCAATTTCCTCTCGTGCCATAGACTAAACCTGTGAACAATGAGCGCAAAGTCCTCCGCTGAAACACCCGATGCATGGGAAGATGACTGGGAAAGACAAGCTGACGTATATCCTCCTCCTCGCTATACATAGCCGTCTTCTGGGGACCGGATCAACCATTCTGGCTCAATTTTTATAATCCACTGATCTGACTGCGAGCTCCTCTGCAGACCTTAGCGTCCGACCCCACTCCGCCTCCACCGGAAAAGAAGGTATCCTCTAAGGTGACCAAAGCGCAGCGCAGGGCGCAGCAGGCGGAATTCAACCGGCAACTATGGGCAGAAGCGTACGTATATCTTCCTCGTTAGAACCGTTCTCTTGTGCTGTCTATGTCCTGAGCAATCGCATCCTGACCGTTCCACATACAGCGAAACTCCGCAAACGTTTCATTTCTTGGAATCGCGCTCCGATGTCCCTCTCAAACAGGAGTTCAAACCGACCGTGACTCTTTTGAGTCGTAACCCGCATCCTTCCCGGCAATCATCGTCCGTCAACGCCGCAGCCGCTGGTCTTGGACGACTGGCTCTGGACGGTGATAACGACGATTCGGATGATGACAACAAACCACCAGAGCCTACCCCCGAGGAACGCCAAGCCATTGCGCTGCGGAATCGGGAAGAGAAGCAACGCAAGTACGAAGAAGTACGTGAGAGATTGTTCGGGAGCCCCTCTGGCACTACGTCAGGCGCATCGTCACCACGCAGTGGGACCCCACCAAAGCACGAGGGTAGAGGGAAAGGGAGAAGCCGTGGTAATGGAAGAGACAACAATCGGGATAAGAGAGATTCTTCGGCGGCATCCGGAAAATCTAAACAGCTCTACGATCCCGGATCCCCTAAGCCAAGTTATGTACAGAGGAAGGAGAAGCAACCGACCAATGACCGAAATGGAAATGACCAACAATCTCCCCGGCAGCCCATCCGCAGCCCTCGGGGCCCTGACAGCAGTGGTAGAGGCGGTTTCCGATTCAACAGAGGCGCTAAATCGACATAACTCACGCAAAGGGAAACACTCTGATTGGGAGGGGCCTGGCCACGACCCATTAGGGCTACTGATCATTTGGAGGGTAGCCCTCCAACAGTCTCGCGCCACACCACTTCAGCAGACTGTGCCAAGAGACTCATAGTACTTTTCCCTACACAGTGATCATGGAAGAGCTCTTCCAGAATTGATCGCATTCGCCAGCAGAGAAGTGTTGGGGCGGTTTTCTGGACGAGCGTCAGATTCCTGACAATAGATTCCTCATCAAGGGAGCTTACGGGCATATCGTTCGTAACTGTCAAAATAGAGCTCATCGTCACTTGTCGTCGCTTTGACGTGCTCATTAGCTTCGATCGCGTTGACCCAGGCGCCCCATCGACTCCCTGCATCGGCGTCCGGCCAACCGCGGTAGGGCTTCAAGACGCGGTTCAATCGAATGATCCAGGGAGCCACCTGGATATCCACAAAGGACATATTAGGTCCCAGGAAGAATGGCCCTTGTGTGTCGGCGGCATTCACTAGCGTAGCGAATGCATCCTTTAGTTCTTGCGCATTTGAAATTTGCTTCTGCTCAGCCTGTTCCTGAAGGACACGGTAGAAATTTGGCACTATGTTGCGGTTGATCTGCATTCATCAGCGTATGCCACTTGCGGGCATTATCTTGGACAAAACTCACAAAGTCTGCCCAGAGTCGGCAATGGGCTCGCAATTTCGCATCCCCTGGCGGGAGCAGAGGTGGGCCAGTGTTCAAGTCTTCAAGCTGCATGAAAGTGTCAGTATCTCTTCAAATATGACTCGCGTCAGGTCATGGGATTTGATACATATTCCAGCAAAACAGTACTCTCGTACGATCCCCAATCTCCGTGCCGCAGGGCAGGGACAAGACCTCTTGGATTCACTTCCAATAGGGACTGAGGCTTTTTGTAGGGATCTACTTCGATATACTGGTAAGGAATGCCCTTGGCCTCCAACGCTATCCATACACGCTGCACGAAGGGACTGGTGGAAAGTTAGTTTGAAGTGCATTCAGATTATTGGAGATCACTATATTTTTGGTACGTACCAAAAACAGCTGCCGTACAATTTCAATTCATTCTCACTGGAATGATTGGACACCGTCACGGCAGCCAAGCCGGTGGCTTTTGTGTGATAGGTCTTCTGCGGAGGTTGGTTTTGGGTAGACATTGTCCTGCTCTTTTGCGCGGGCTGGATTAGACTCCGAGAATGGACTGTTGGTGGTAAACAAATGGTGGGGAACTTTTGATAGGAAAACAGCCGCTGTCTTTGTGTTTGAAAAAGGGATTTGAGGAACATTGAAAACAAGACCATTCAATAACGTGTGAGAAAGCGGGGAAGAGAAAAGAGACACGCAGGAATGATTGATTCCTATTGATGTGACGTGACGTAAGGCTCGTCTCTGGTTTTTCTCGGATAGAAAACAAAAGCCAAAATTCAACGAATAGAGAATTTTTTAACTTACCGAACTTGCCTTCTTTTTCTCTCTCGCCTCCTTCAGCAGATACCGCTGAACACTATTCTTCTTCACCCGATCACTCTCTTCTAATGTATGCCGATGCCCACCACTTACCCCGTCATTCTTCCCATTGGCACCATTCCCGTTAACCCGCTGGATGGTAAAGAACCGCTGTCCATTGGCCCCAGGATGTCCCTCAGGCAATGGCGGATTAGGCGTCAGCACACCAAATGGCTGGCGATCTCGAGGTTCCGGATCCTCAGGTGGAGGAAACACTACATCTCCGCTGGACAGTGACTCGGCGCCCAGAGCCGCCGCAGCGTCATTGGCGGCGCCTTCCGCGATCATCATGGGGCTATACCCGGGGAAGTACTCCGTGATCTTGATCTTCACATCGCAGAGATCCCGTTGGCGCGCTGTTCGTTTCCGCTTCTTCTTGTTCGGATCATCGGACTTAGGAGTCCCGGGCGGACGACCTTTCAATCGACAGTCCCAGTAATGTGATATGAGCGGCTTGCGTTTGTAATGCTGCGTAGAACGGTGCGAGTAGATGTTATCCACATGCGGGAAATAAGCCAGGAATCTATCGGGCTTTTGTCAGATCATTGTCCATCGCATGATTCAATACGAACGCTCCCCATTTTCTCTGTTCTCGCTCTGGTAGGTACATATACAGAAAAAGCTAACTTGGGAATCAAAACATACTGCTCTTCGCTTAGCACGATCGTCTCATCCACATTAAACAGCCTCTCTCTCCACAGGTCCAGATCAGGCGGATCCAAGACAGATGGCATGTCTCGGAGGTAACCGCCCTGTTTGGGTGAAAAGATCGAGGCCTCGGAGAAGGTATTGCACTGTGGCTGCATGTGCAGAGAATGGGAATCGTCGCGAGGCTTTTTCCAGTTAGCCATTGTTTGAATATTCGCCGGATATTGTATGAAAGTGGACCTGCTACTGGAAATATCCAGTTTATATATATACTTACAAGTAGGTTGTTGTTGTTGTTGTTGTTGTATGGTTCTCGGAATGATCGGGCTTCATTTGGCCCCTCATGTTGCTGGATTGAATATGGGTCTAAAGTTTCAATGGCGGTTTGTAGAGGATGCAAAGACTGTGCGTCGGTGGACTCAGCACTCGGGACATGTTCTTGTATCTCATGTTGGTGTTGTTGTGCTTGTGCTTGTGCTGCTGCCAATGTGGATGCATCCTCAGCAACTCCTGAGAGCGAGTCAAGCTGGAGTGAATGGGGGAGATCCGAGGATTGAATTCCCGGGTTTTCCATTCTGAATTGAGAAAGATAATAAATATTTTTTTTATTCTCACAGAACAAGAAGGCAAACAATATCAATCGCGTAGGTACTCAATTGTATTGTAGATGGAAAGGGATGCTGCTTTTGTGAAGGGGAAGATGGGAAATGGCGGGGAGGTTGAAGCGGCAGGGGTTTTTGAACTGGCAGAAAATCCGTTGAAAACCATGGAAAGATCTTACTAAATAAAAAGACGGAACACTGCATAAGATTTATTTATTTATTCTAAAACTGCTCCTATATTATTTAAAAAAGATACCAAATCCATTGGGAGGGAAAACAGGACAGAAACTCCAAAAAAGCAATCATCGAGTGTTTTGTGATACCTCCGTTTCGTACCACATGAAATAGTAATAAATCGTGAATTCGCCCAGCGTATTTATAGCAAACTACCCGTTCGGTTGAAAACACTTCCTCCCTATCACTTCTTTTCCTCCTCCTCCTCCTCCTCATCATCATCACCTCTTGCCTCAAAATCTATACCACATCGTCGAGATTATCAAGGCCGTAAATCGTTCCTCTAGCTTTAAAGCATAAGCCATCATCCTTAATATCCGTCCTCGTCAACACTATGCTCATTATACATGCGCAAGCTGTATTTAGCAAACTTGCTCTTGGCGCGGATCTGCTTCCCAAACCGTGAGAACAGAGGTGGGATTGCACAGAACATGGTCGCAATAATCGCCAGCACGGAGATGGCCATATTGTTTCCGAGGTTCGAGAACATTGGCGGAGCGACGAGCGGCAAGATGGCAGATAAGAGGGCTCGCACAATAGCAAGGGCAGCCAATCCACTGGCTGCATAGCTGAGATAGCTGTCTGTTAAGTACCCACCCAGCACGTATTCAATCTCGTTCAGAGAATATCCAACCAGCACCAGGCAGAAGACAGACACCATCCAGTGCAGGTCAGTCCTGTATGGGGGGACAGTCCAGGCGAAAGACCAGAGTCCCACTGTGAGGATGAAGGCTCCAATCCAGAAACCAGTCAGCTTGTGCTCGGGTAAGAGTGGCTGCCCCTTCTGGCGGTGCTTGTCGATAATATGCAGATCGATATAGCGGGTAAAGAACCCGAAGCTCAGACCAACTCCGATGGCAATGAAAGGGAGGCATGCTTGTCTAGTGCTGAAACCGAAATCTTCATAGACTGGAGGCAAGGCTTCGGTGAAGAGATAAACCAGAGCAACAGCGATGGCGCTGATCACGGACACGAAGAAGACAATGAGCTCGGTGAAGAAGAGGCGCACTGGGCGGAACAGCGCCGTACGCACAAAGGTCTTCAGGTCTGGCGTGCGGTCTGGGTTCAATCCCTGAAGCGTTTCGATTCCGGTAACTTTGCGCAGCTGTGCAACCTCGCGTGCCAGCAACAGGGAGGGACGGGACTCGCGGAGGGTCAGGAGGATGAAGGTGAGGATACCAGTCACAATGGCGGCAACATAGAATAACCATCGCCTAGATGCTCTTATAAGTACTGGTGTCAGAGTTTGAGTGAGCGAAACCATACCAATTCAGATCCGCAACGATAAAGGTGCTCAATATAGGGCCGGTCACCAAACCTAGATTAGCCACTATAGCCCAGAGACAAAGTACCCAGACTCGGTCTCTCGAATTGAACATATCCTCGATACTGCCAATTACAACCGTTGTTGGGATCGCCGAGACAATTCCGCTGAAAAGACGACCAATGACAACGCCAGATAATGATGGGACAGCAGCCACGATAGCACAGGAGATACTGTACAGCGCCGTACTGAGTACATAGAGGTTCTTGCGTCCGAAGGCTTCCGAGTATGGAGGGAAAACGATGGAACCGAGGCCTTGGCCCAACAGATATCTATTGTCCCACAAGCTATCAGAAAAACGCAATTCAGGTGAGAGTCCATAGGGTTGAAAGGTGCTGAACGGACATTGATACAAATACAAATATAGATAATTCCTTCTCGATGTTGAATTCACCTATGGCATCCTTGGCAGCAGTAGACTATGATAGTCAGCGTAATGTTCTCAAAGGGGGCAGGGAAAGAGACCGGGGAACGTACGCCAGAAGCGCTGATGGCAGTCCTGTATACAACGGTCTGTTAGCAAGGAGCCTCATCGCGTAACAGAGCAGCAGACAGTCAACGTACGTGAAAAGCTCTAGGAAGATGATCAAACTAGTGTCATAAGCTTTCCGTACAATGCTCCAATTGCGAGGATGACGCTGATTTCCTTTCGCCCATCGGATATGGAATCCGTCAGCCGCAAACTCCAGACCATATTGTCTCAAATGTGGCTCCAAGATGCCTTTGTCTGTCTCAAACTGAGACATGGCGATCTCGGGCATTTTGTCGTTCATCTTAGGCGGCAAAAAAGGATCCAATAGACCAAGTCAAAAGAAGAAACTTGGATGCTGAAAGCAGCAAGCATAAAATATCAGGTAGAAGGGCCCCAGCATCAGGATTTTGACTTAATAATCTGAACTACATCTTGCTGAAGCAAACAGACATCAAACAGACATACGTAGCTGCAAGCTTTCCTCTCTTCCCCATAATGCAAGGGGCTGGGTGTGCAGATCCCCGCTAAGTGTCGAGTGAGGTATGATGCTATTCCCAGTGGCACAGCTTTAGTCACCTGGTCCACAGTTGGTCATTTTGGGTGCTCCCTGAAGTCAGTTCAACGGCCAAGATCCGAATTCTTTGGTCTCTTACAACATCGATTCAAGCGATATAGCGTCCTAGAAACTTTAGAACAGCTACCCCTTGGTGGCCATACCTCTCGTTTGAGAGGAAGATCTACATACCTGACGGAAGACTGACTACTAGAATGCTCGGCGTCGCCAGCAATGTTCGTCAGCGTTTCTATCCCTTTTTGGGCCTCTTTGCCCCATAGCCTACGCGTCAACTGGATAAGGACAAGGAAAGGTTCCCTTGTCGCAGGGTGCTCCCAGGGTTCTTTTACCAAGCTGGCATTGCTCGCCGGTGATAGGGCTAAGACATGGAGCTTCAGGTTTGGTTCAAAACCGTGAAATTCTCCGGGCTTTCTCCCTTACACCCTATGACCTATGTATCATCGTGGAGAATGCGCCTCCAATAGGACGTGGGACGAATTATATTACGTAGAATTATCCGAACCAGCCTTGTCCTGTAGATGTATAACCTAGGTCCCTACCCTCCCCCTTCCGAGTCGTAACCGAGAATAGCCATGTAGGTTTTCCCAATTTGACTACCAGTATCGTGTGCTGTTACCTAATATAATACAGCATAGGTCTAGGCTCTTTCGTTCCAATGATCAACCAGCGTGATCCAAAAGATTGTTGTACTTCTGGTGACATATCCTCACTAGTATCATTTATATATGAAAATCACTACCGATTTCAGCACAAGCAGTAACGAGATGAAAAGGATGAAGTCACATCATTCAATAGCTTAACATATGCACAATTTTCGACATTGTCTTATGAAAAGTTCACAAAATATGGAGGTCTCATTCTCCGGCTGTCTTCGCTTCGTAGCCCGGCTGTTCACCTTTTCCCGATCCAATCACCCGGCTTAGGGCTATCGGCAGAGCCTCTATGTACAAGTTCTGAAAATAGGTCTTATGACTTCTACTGTAAATTTAACTTTAATAGGAGTAGTTAGGGGTTGGCAGTGGCGGAGGAAGTGGTACTTCGTTTAGCTGATCTGACTCGACGAACGGCGGGCATTTCAAATATATATCATCACGTCACGGGAATTGCATAGTACCTTTTGTTTTGCCGGCGACGAACCCGGCTTAGAGACTGCTTTAACTTAGATTAGGATCTCAAATATGCATTTTAGAATTAATATCTACTTTAGTTGTGTACCAGTAAACTTACTATCTTCCATACAGCAACATCGGTACGCCTTAGAAATTGGAACGCCGGCCCTAATTCATTTCCCGGGATTTTATCAACTACTACTATGTAATGATGCCAATCCGAAGAGGACGTCGTCATGTGACTTGGTCTGCAATCTAGAAATAAATAGGGTCATGATTTGCGTTAAAGCTATGGCCGGCAACTACCAGAGGCCTTGCTAGGAGCGGGTGATCTTCATCCCCTGCACATCTAGTCCGTTCTGCGATCGACTACCCCTTGTAGATCGGACAAATTAGAAAGCCAAGATTTCATTGACTACTAATATAAGTAAACTCTGTACATGGATTCAGATAAAATCCTAATTCTTGAGCAAACAGCCTATGTATCACGCTGTATGCGTGCCATGCATATATCCGTCCGAATCATAACACTCTTCGTTTTCTAATCACCACTGTGTTCCAGCAACAATGGGGAAACTCTCCGATGTACACCTGGTACTTAAGCGTTGCCGTTGTAGGCAAGCAGGTTAACGCTGCCCTTAACATCCTTGACGACGTCCTTGGTGGCCAACTCCTTGATGCGCTTGGTCACGGCAGCAGGGCCATCGAGGTTCTCAAGAGCAGCGAGGTAGAGGGACAGGCCGACAATGTGGGGAGTGGCCATGGAGGTACCAGAGATGGTGTTGGTGGCAGAGGAGGAGCCAATCCAGGCGGAAAGGATATCCTGACCGGGGGCGAAGATGTCAACGACCTTGCCAAAGTTGGAGAAACTGGCACGGGAGTTGCTCTTGTTGATAGCGGCAACAGTGAGGGCATCGGGGGCAGAGGCAGGGCTGGTTTGGCCAGCATCAGACTAAGAGAATGAAGTCAGTTACGGATTCGTCTCTGCTCAAGGAAGGAGAGACGTACGTTTTCGTTACCGGCAGCGACAACCGAGAGAACACCCTGCTCAAATGCACTCTCGACCGCATCGTTGAAAGCCTTGGAGTAGCCACCGCCTGTGTTTTTGGAGTTAGCGCTCACGCATCCCGAGTATCAGTGCCGGCAGTGAAGAACAAGGTAAACTCACCCAAGCTCATGTTGATTGCAGCCTTGCTGGTACGCTTCTTGCTAACAATGTCGTTGGCAGCCCAGTTGAAGCCGTCAAGAATGATGGAAGTGCTGCTCGATTCACCCTGGAAAACCTTGACCGAAAGGATGTTGGCCTTCTTGGCAATACCATAAGTCTTGCCCGCAATGGTGCCGGAAACGTGGGTGCCATGACCGATGCTGTCCTCGTGCTGACCACCGGCAGCGTTGTAGGCCTTGCTGGCGCGGCCCTCGAACTCCTCATGGTCGACATTGACACCGCTATCCACCACGTAGGCATAGGTGCCCTCGCCGGCACTGGTGTCGTAGATGTAGTCGGTGCTCTGCTCGCCCTTGTGGGAAATGCTTCCCAGGCCCCAGGGCGCATTCTTCTGGGTAGTCAGACCATCGAGGTAGTAGATTTGGTCCTCCTCGACGTAGGCAACCTGGGCGTGAGTTAGTCGTCATTCAAAGTTGTGAGCGGATGATCACAAACATCTTCGTTCTTGCGGATCTCCTCAATGGTAGCATCGTCGAAGGAGCCTGCATAGGCGGCAAACTTGTTGATCTTGTAGTTGCGCTCAATACCGATGGGAAGATCACCGCCGCTGGCGCCACGACGCTCCAGACTACGCTGGTGAATGTTGGTAGCCCAGGTGGTATGCTCCTGAATCTTCGCCTCGTCGATGCCGGACTTGAACGTGACAATGTACTTTCCAGGAAGCTTCTCGGCGGCCCGGCGGGTCTCCTGCACAGGGGCACCGAGGACCGCGGGAAGGACAGCTCCGAGGAGGAGCAAGGTACGCTTGATGGACTGCATGATGAGAAGCTTGCAAAGATGTGCGAGAACAAATCAAGTCGGAGGATAGAAACCGCTGGCTTGATGATGGGAGGGAGGATGGACGAGGGCTGCATGTGGTATTTATAACATTCAGGAGCACTATACGTCCCCGTTCTCGAGCAATTTCTACGAATTTAGATCACTTGTACAGCATGCAACGACAAGGATGGTCTGTACTACAGAGCGTAGTTGAAACTTACAGGGTGACATTGCATTTCTCAGAGGACGGCGTTGTGCTCCACCGGAAATTACTCTATCAATCAGCGGACATGATGAAGGATGGGAATGATGATGACCACCACGGACGCTGACCCGCTTCAGTCAGGAACGGGTGCTCCGATAGACTGCGAAGAACACAAGGCTATGGCAAGTTCTCGAGACTGCAGGGTTTGGCAGAGACCAGCATAGGGCACTTTCCTCGAAGGAGTAACTAACGCTCAGGGCAGTGGCTTGGTACCTTCAAAGGGAAGGTGGTATATCCCTCAGTCAATTAATTCACACAGTCGCTCGCCATAATGAGAGGAGTAAACGATATCCTGGACAGAAAGGACCTAATGCCGCGGGCGATGCCTTTAGGAGCGAAGATCATCCTAAAAATGCGACAGAGATCAATGTGACCCATTCCCTTTGCTTGGCATCCTCACGCGATATCCGCTTTTTCCCACGTCTTTTATAGGGATCAAGGGTTCTGATTGGGTGGTGAGGTCTTGTTAATATCTAAACTTCAAAGAATGAGCCCCAAGGTGTAGCCAGCAACGTATGGGGTTGCATGAGAAGCAAAGAAAAAGAAAAAGAATAATAACCATGCGCACCTATAATATCGCGCTTTCGGTATTGGCGAGGGAGAACGGCTTGGTCAAGGGCCGCGGGAGGGGCTATCACAAAGAAGTGGGATCTTTGCGATAAGCACTTCTGGCCCCTCAGTCGAAGAGGCTAAGCTAAGCAATTTCTGGAGCTACACGAGGGTTATGCGAACAGGCATGTGCTTCTGAAGGTCTTCTGATAGTATCAGGACTTGGGCACATTCGCCCTGTTTGAGGGGGGGGTGTTGTTTTCCTGCCGCAGTATAACCATGGCTCGCAGTAAAAGCATATGCCACGCCAAATGTCGGCCCCTGTTGTGACACAAAAGTCCTGCAAGACGAAAGACAATACTCCGAGTCATTCGAGCAGCCAATGACACCAGCAAGCAGCCGGACTTCCCGTCGGCATCAGTGTATCTCATTAGGCACTACCTGAATGGCCTATCTCCACAAGCCATGAGTAGGTGGCAAGCCTACCGCCGGGAGTCCGAGCGACCAAGGCCCTTGGCATCAAGGGACGGGAGGGGCCAAGAGGGGAAGCCAAGAAAGGTGGCAGTCAAAGAGGCGGCATCGGCATTAGCAAGAAGTTCCAAGTCCAACCCGTTGACCTGGCGAGTCAAATGATCATTGGCAGTGTCTTTCAGGTGCATGAGCCCTCTGCAGGTGAGGTTGGTGGTGCCGCACGCACTAGTGCCCATCTCTCTTCATGCATAAACCAGCCAAGCAAGTCCTTGGCATATCTGGTTAATTCCAGTGGGCTGACGGAGCTGCAGGTTAATTAATGTTGGTGATGTTGCATTCGATGGGTCCAGCGGCCTGACTTGCCAGGGCAGGTCAGGGGGGGGAATTAGACATTAAGCCTTCGTAGCTTTCCTAGCCTCCCCACAGCATTCTCGGGGCATTTTAGGGAAGGAAAAGAGGGGAAGTAAGCAGAGGACCTGCAGGAAAGAGTGAGGGTGAGCCTTGTGTAAGGGTTGGAAGGTGGTGAGCCCTGCCTCGTGATTGGCAGGGATTCAACTGTGGCCTGAGGCTAAACGGCACCAACTCCCCAGGCAGCTAAATTCTTGGCATTTCTTCTTCCATCGGGCTTCCGTTGGCAATCGTCAACCCTTAATCTCTTTTTTAATTTCTCGCTCTCAGTTATCATTCTGGGCATTCAACTTTTGTCTCGGATTCGAGAGGAGCAATGCCGTGCCTCGGGACGAGACTGATCAAGAATCCCTTCATCTTCATCTGAATCCAGTTCGGTCGGAGCACCGCAACAAATCAAGTAAAGGAATACCATGTCTTCGATAACGTCATTGGCTCTTAGTTAATTTATGCATCCTGTGTACACACTAGCAGCGATTGTTCAGCCACCCGATAAGCGCCGGTCTTGGCCCTTTTCCTTTTGGCGTTGGCTTTGACCCTCGTGACTCAAACGGATCTAAGGTACTCATGCGCGGTTTAGATGTGCTCATTATGGATCCAGATAGATCGATCCCCCGTAGTATCCGACATAACCGAATCCTCCAGACATTTGGCCTCTAAGAATGCCCATTTTTTATGAGCTTTTCTTCCACGCATGTTTCTTGGCTGCCTCTGTGTTTTTGAATGGAAATCCCGTCGTTCTCTTATCTGCACCCGTCTTCCGACTAATCTTCCCATTACTGCTGGCAAAGAGTACACACCAAAGACCAATGGCGGCCACCACTGAGTATCCAATCATTCCTATAGCAAGGGCAATGTGACCCGAGGATAAGTACCGGGTATAAGCGTAGAAGGCGGAAAATCCTTGGAAAAGGGCTGTTACGATCAATGTTGGAACGGCATATGGTCCCTTGGGATCGTTATCCTCTGTGGTCACTGGCTCTGACACCGTGGAGTTCAAAGGGATCGATCCCGTCAGCATTACCGTTAGGACCGCAATGGTGAGTAAACTAAACCCTAGGCAGCGTGCGAAGTATATCTCCATTTCTATAGACGGGTTAGGGTGAGTTTTTTCAAGCCATGGAGCCAATTACACGCTGTCTTGAGTAACCTGGATAGAATGGCACTTACCAGAAGCCGATCTAGTCTCATCCAACAGCAAGGTTGCCATGATCTGCGGGACGGTGATCAAGGATATACTCTGCAGCGAGAGCCATCCCGCTGTGGAGTAGGTATAAGCATAGAATACCTGTCGTGGGACGATCGTTAGCTGCTCTTTGTTCTAACGCGGGGTTGGCAGATCATCAGTGAACGTACATCCATGGTGGGATTAAATCATTCAAGAGATTATGGATCAATAGGAATTTACAAAACTGACAATATTTGCTACAGTTTGTGCCAATTGATGCGAAAAGAAAAGAAAAAAAAGCAGGCAACAATCAACCAGCGGAGCTTCAGCTCTGACATCATAACGTCTCCTATTTTTTGCCTTGTTTGCATTGGGAGCTCGCTCTCTAATAAACATGACCATTTCAATATAATTTTCTTCTTATGTAGGATACTTTCAGTTCGACCATTTATCTCGTGTCTAGTTCATTTATTCATGCATATATTGGGGGAAAAAAAAGTATGAGATGTCAAATGGGCAGTGTTACTAACGCCGTGCAATAAACCAAAGCCGGGGAAATCGATCAAGACGACTAAAACAAAGGAGATTCAAAAATCACTGGTTCATCTGGCTTGCTCGCAAGTATCTGGCAAAACTAAGATCCTGATCGGATGGCCCGGCCTTAGAATCGGCAAGTGCATCCTGATACCGCTGAGAGAGCCCATCATTATCGGCAGCCCGAGGAACACCCGACTCATCTTCACTATCATCATCATCGTCCTCAGGCTCTTCGTAGTCTCCCTTTTTCTTTGCAGCTGCGAGTTCCTCTTCCTCCTCCTCCGCTTCACTAACAGTTTCCGCCTCGTTCTCGGTACGTTTGCCCTTACTAGACCCAGAGACATTCATATCTTTCATCAACTTGCCCAATTCCTGTTCCCGGTGAGCTGCCTGGGTCTCTTCGCGCTCCTTCTTCTTGCGCTCCAGTTCCGGTTTGTAGTCACGCTCGAATTCTTGACGCTTCTCTTCGACCGCTTGAAAGAACTCGTCAATGCCATCTCCGGTCATTGAGCTCACACCCACAATGTTCAAATGCCGGTAAAACTCTTCGAGCATTAGACTCATGCTGTTCAGTAGCGAGCCCATGTATCCGCTTCCTGAACCGAAACCTCCAGCACCACCCTCTGTTCCGAAGGCACCCGATTCCTCTTCTTCCCGCAAAGCCTGCTGGAAGGCATCAAAGTCGGTCATCCACTCTTTTGCAAACTCGGCATCCTGAACGTCGGTCTTATTGAACACAAGAATCATCGGTAGTTTAGTCTTGTAGAGAATACTGCAAGCGTAAAGCATATTACTCATAAAAGTACTCGTGGAGCTTGCGCGCGGGGTATCAATCACATATGCAATCACGGTGGGAAACGAGGAAGCCAGGGTCTCAAGCAGGATACTACCTGATGCACTCCATACAAAGACTTCGATCTGTCCGGGGGTGTCGACCAGGATATGCTCGATAGGCTTCGCAGTTGGGTTGCTTGGGCTCGGGGCGGTGCGTTTCTCCAGCAGTGCGATAATCTGGTCCACCTTCGTTGCAAAGAGGTTCAACGACGTCAGAATACCACCGTTGGGGCCCAAGTTGTACTGTTTCATGACCTCCTTGTAATTGATGGAATCACGGATATCGATGTTACTCTCGAACGGTACGGAATACACGGCGGGGTCCAGATTCAAAACGTAGGGAATCTTCTTCTGCGAGTGGAGGTACGAGTTGATTCGCTGCATAAAAGTCGTCTTTCCGGAGCCTTAATGTGAAAGATAAAAGCAGTTAGTGTTAATGTAGCACCGACCAAGAAACCATCTAGCTTTGTTACCTGCCATGCCCACACAGACAACGGCCACGGGAGATTGCGCCATGATGAATAGCGTCAAGTAAAATTTATCTCAGTGCTGCTCTTTCCCGTGTGTAAGATCGCTCAGGTAGTGGTGATTCTTTAGTACGTATCACTGAGGTGAAACACGGGAGAACAAGAGCTGTGTGATGGTCGAGAAAAAAATAAGAATCAAAAATCAAATAATTTCGAGTCGCGCGGGGAGTACTTTTTTTGAGGATCTGCTCGGTGGAGTCTAGAGGGCCGGCCAGACGTCATTAGCGCCTTTTCCGCTTTAGTCTTTTGTTTCGGCAGTTTCGCCTTTCGAACTTTCGCTGCACTACAGGTATCACACCGCACGGATTAATCCTACCACCGATAAACATGACTCTGGAGGATTTTGAAAAGTCATTGGCGGAGGATCAGGGGAAACGGCGCGAGAAGAGTGACAAAGAACGGCATCGACATCGCGACCGAGACCGCAGTCGGGATCGCTCAAGACATCACCGCCATCACCACCATCGCCGCCATTCGTCCAGATCCAGAGAGCGTGAGTCCGATAGGCACAGAGATTCGCGACACAGGGATGAGGATAGACATCGTCATAAGCGGTCACGTCATTCCACCGACCACGGAGACGATCGCGACCATGCCCATAAACGCCGACATCGACATGAAAGCAAAGACGACGAAGCGTCCGCCGCGAAAGAGGTAGCTCAGGAGGAACCAACGCGCTTAAAAAGAGATGCGTGGATGGAAGCCCCATCGGCGCTGGACATTGACTACGTGCATCGGCGTGATACGACGCGCTTGGAGGAGGAGCCAAAGCCCAAGATGCTACAAGCAGACTTTGAGCTCAAAATTCATGGCAGAGAACTGAATCAACACTTGCATGATCTTAAGGATGGAAAGGCATTAGAGGAAATCCAGGAAGAGCAGGCGCAACACGATGTTGACTACACCTTCGGTGACTCTGGCTCACAATGGAGGATGACTAAACTGAATGCCGTTTACAGGGAGGCTGAGGAAAGCGGGAAGTCAGTGGAGGAAATTGCTATCGAGCGCTTCGGGGATTTACGTTCCTTCGATGATGCGCGCGAGGAAGAGGCGGAACTAGATCGTCGCGAGCGGTACGGTGAGGGATACGTTGGTAAAGAAAAGCCATCGGGTGAGCTTTTCCAAGAGAGAAAGCTACAGGAGGGCGTCCACCGGGATACACACGAGCATATCCGGAACCCTGAACATGAATTAGAAGCTCACGGTCTGGGCAAACCGATCGCTACAGAACCACCACAGAATACTACGCAGCCCCTTGACTTAACAGCGCTCAACCGACTTAAGGCGCAGATGATGAAAGCAAAGCTCAAAGGCTCTCCTGATGCTGGCGAGCTTGAAGAGAGATACAATGCCGCGGCGGCAGCCATGGCGAACCGGAAGGACCCTGGTGTTGTGGTGTTGGGAGTCCAGCAGAACCGGATGCTTGCTGGCAAGAGAAATGAAGTCAAAGCTGTGGATACTAAACGAGGCCGAGAACGGGGCCAAGTGGAAGAAAATGAGGATATGAGCATCGAAGATATGCTTCGCGAGGAGCGAAGAACCCGGGATCAGTTCGGAGGAGAAGGGAAACGGCTAGCGGAGAGAATAGCAAAGGATGCCAAATTCGAGGTAAGCTCCCCCAAACTGAAATCTATAACCACATCCGAGAGACTAATTAACTTGGAATAGAATGATTTGGAGTACATGGACGACAACGCCTCCAAACTAGCACGACGGGTGCATCAGTCTGAAATCAATCTCAAAAATACAACTATTAGTGAATTTCAAAAGATGAACCGAATCCTGGATAATTGTCCTCTTTGCCATCACGAGGACACTAATACTCCGCCTATTGCCCCTGTGGTATCTCTGGCGACTAGGGTTTATCTTACTCTTCCCACAGAGCCTGAACTCAATCAAGGGTGTGCTACCATTGTCCCCATTCAACACCGGACGAATCTTTTAGAATGCGATGATGATGAATGGGAGGAAATCCGCAATTTCATGAAGAGCCTGACCCGCATGTATCACGACCAAGGCCGGGACGTTATCTTCTATGAGAATGCAGCCCAGCCTCACCGAAAGAGGCACGCGGCAATGGAGGTAGTGCCCTTACCATATGAGCTGGGGGAGACTTCTCCTGCCTTTTTCAAAGAGGCCATTCTCGCCGCAGACTCAGAATGGTCTCAGCACAAGAAGTTAATCGACACATTAGCTAAATCTAAGCAAGGATTGGGCCGATCCGCCTTCCGCCGTACACTGGTGAAAGAGATGCCATACTTCCATGTCTGGTTCGAACTTGATGGTGGTTTAGGGCATGTAGTCGAGGACGAAAACCGCTGGCCCCGAGGCGACCTCTTTGCACGAGAAGTCATCGGGGGAATGTTGGACCTCGCCCCAGATGTGATCAAGCGGCAGGGCCGCTGGAACCGTGGAGGCGATCGACGAGTTGATGGATTTAAGAAACGGTGGAGGCGATTCGACTGGACGAGGGTGCTTTTTGAGGGGCAAGCCTAGGTTCCTATTCTCCATGACCAGTTGACCGTAAGGTAGGGATCCTAGGAGCCTCTTGTTATATATCGGTCTTCTCTCCTGCAGCGAATTAATCATGCACACCGTCATTGGCCTAGCGAATTTTGTAGTTTCATAATGTTGCACCTTAATTTGTATAAAACTTGTCACCAGCCAACCCTTTGTGCACCACGAAACCTTTGCAGAACAACGCTGGAGAATTTTGACCAATCCAAATAGCAACACTTATGCCGCTGATCCATCCGTCTGTCGCCTCGTATCGGCAGTTTTCCGAACCTTGAATAAGTCCGGGGCACGGCAGTTGATAGTCCATTGGGTGTCGTTCTTTACCCGCGGGTACTTAATCGGAGATTCCCATGTATAAACCATTGCCATCGCGGGTATCTCCGATAATGAATTCCAAGTTTCTTTTGAGAGATCCTTAAATCGCAATAGCAACTCTCTTGTTACGGCCGAGAAAATGGAAGGTGAGAATGCGGAGAAATCCCGATCACTAGATGGCATCATCCGCGAGTCTAGTTGGAGAAATAAATTCGAACTAGAAAGGAAATTGAATTGAATGATAAGAAGTGGGGCACGTGGGGGAAGTTCGTCGTTGCGGCGGAGGAATTTCTAGTCATTCCTTCTCGTCTATTCCCCTCCTTCGCTTCTTGACCTTCCTCTATCCTTCTGCTCTTCTAGACTCAAGGTAAAGTGCACTTCTGCGATCTCGTATTGACCTGAATTACGTCTTTGCGATTGTTGTGGCAACAGCAATTGAGACTCGACTCGCCCTCGGCCAAACATTATATCAACTTCCCCGCGCCTTATCTCCCCTCGGGTTAATTCAAGTGCGTACTTGACTTCTGACTCATTTTTCTTCTTGAGTATATAATT